AGCTCTGACTAGGGATGACTCTTCATCACCTGAAGTCAGCTTACTGTTGCCTTTTGTCTCTTGTGAAATTTTGAGGAACGCATCTCAAAGACTAAAGCTGATGGCCAACATGCAGGTGCTAAATGCACCTGCATTAAAGGTAGCAACTCTATAGCAGAAGCTAGCTGAAGATTGTAAAACTGTAACATATAAGTAAAGAATATATTGTTTGATGTCTTACAAGTTTCATGTGTCTGTGTTTAAGACAAATCTAGTGTGTAAAAGTGAAAGTGAACTCCTGTTAGGTTGGTGCTGGGTGGATTAAAAAAATGCTATTTAAAAGTAAATGTTTATACATTAAACAGTAAAATAAATTGTGCAGTTTGCATTTGTTATAGTTACATGACAAGAGGTTGAAGAATGAGTATCCTTTGCTTATGCTTTGTTATTGTTTAGTCAGAGCACCTTCAGAGCTCTTGTATCCATGTATGTTCATAAAAATATTAAATAATATTTAGTTTGGAATAAGATATTTAATACTGTTTGTGTAAAAATTTGTCTTATAATGCCTACCCCTAGTAACAAAACCAAGCTGCTTGGACTGGTGTTAAAAATTGCGGCTACTTTTAGGGACAATTCTTTGAGTTTCTCAGTTTCGTTTCTCTCCTCATACACTTATTTCCAAGTCTTTGCAACAGGTTTGAGACTGTTGTACTGTCCTTGACTCAGCGCATGTTGAGTATGTACAAGTCAGTGTGCTAGTAGTGCACAGGCTGAACATTTGTCTTTTTTGTTGATAAACCTGCGTGGGGTGTGTTTTAGACATTTTACAGCACTGAATTGCTAAAACGTTTTGCTTCTGTCTTTCCCTCAGGTACTATCAGATGCCGATGGCGTATAATCCCTATGCCTATGGGTATAACATGCCCTTCGTGCACTATCAAGGCGCGGGGCAGGCTGGTTATCCTGGAGGTCCCCCAGCCCAGCAGCCTTACCCCTATCCCCAACAACCTCCCCAGCAACAGCCCTTCTACCCCCAGCAGTAGACAATATTTACTCTGAACACCCCTGCCCCAGCTACAACCATTCTGCCCCTTGTATTCTAGCACTCCTTTCTCTTACACTTAATCTCTAACACCTCCACTCCTTCTCTCTGTGTCTAACACCTGGCTTCTTGTGGGCAGAGATTAGAACACTAGAAGGACCAATGGGATCTGCCCTCAATAACCACGCCCACTCTCCTCTAAGCCTCAGAGAGATGCTCTCTGCTCTGGTTTGGATCTTTCTCTCTCTCTCTCACTGATTCTCTCACTCATGCCCAAAGTCAAGCTGCTGGCTGCCTGCCTGCCGCTGCTTATATCTTATTTTTGTAATGAATACTGAATATATATACTCTAATGCAGGATATGTAGATGTTTTCTTACCCAGAAGACGAAGATTATTGTTGGGAGAAAAAGTTTTACTGTAACCCTTTCATTGTACCTCTCTTCATCTTTCAATCAGCGCTTGGGGGAATGGAACGGTTTAATGGACTAGTGAATAAGACAATGCATCTGTCACTTAAAAACTACTTTGCGTTTTGTTTCTCTTTTGTTCTCATGTAATTAAAACCTGTCTGATGCTAAAAGGCCTTCTGTGTTCTCTCTGTATATCTTGCTTTGGTATGTGCTTGTTCTTTTATTTTTAATTAGATTCCGTAGAAACGTGTTAGTTTTGTATGGAGCAGGGGAATAAGGGTGCTTATGTTCCAGTCACATCAGTCATTTTCTTTAGAGAATTTAATTTGAGACTTGACAGATGATACAACAGTGGGAGTTCAGTGTCACATTTAAAAGATTTCCTTCTAGTTTGCTGAACTGTTTAAAATTACAGCTTAATTTGTACACATACTTTTTATGCACACAATGTTTTGAAAAGATTTCATCATGCTCACTTCTTGGTTACACATTCTTTGTTTTTAATGACCTCCTGAATTCTGTTCTTGTGGTTTTATATTTGGCCTGTGCTGTGGCCTCCTAGACACTGCCTGCTGTAGCCTACTTGGCTGAGAGAGTTTTTATGATTTTCAGTCTTGTTTTAGGGGTTGAAATGTGTGCTTTGTTGAGTTTGGATCTGGTGTTTTATTTGGTCCGTCAGGAATTTCTCTGTTTTACCCAGAAGAACATTTTTTTTTAAAACTTTATGAAGAAACTAGTGAGTTTTTAAGGTGTTTGGTTTTAGTGAAGTAGTGAGCTTCACAACATGGGCAATTTCCTATGTCGTCAGGACTAAACTCTTAATTTTCGTTTTATGTAAGGCTTGGTTTCTCATGGTGTTGGACCATGGTTTGACAAGTATTCTTTCTATTTTGAATTTATTTTTCTCTTCTGTAATTTCCTTTTAATAGTGGGACTTTTTTTTGGCATGGCTAATATTTAGGCTTTCTCTGATTGGTCAATTCAGAGTTTATAGCCTCATAATGGTCTGTTTTACTTGCTTTAAAGCCAGCAACAAATGCCAAAACCTGCAGTAAAGACAGACCAGCTTACACTTTTGCTGAGCGCGTCTGCACACACTTTAGAAGACATGGCTTAAAACTACACCGGATAACCAAGAATGTACTGTAATTTTTGAATGCTTCATCTGATAGGAGTGAACCCTGCACCTCTGCATCATTTGAAATTCAAAGTGGACACTGAGCAGTCTGGAGACAGGACTTCCGGCAAAAAAAAGAGGAAGTTACCAAAAGAGGAATCAAAGAGCAGGTGCTTAAATGAACTCTCTCAATGCTTACTGTAACTGTAGGAGCTGGAATGCTCTGTGCTTCAGCTGAGAGATTGGTGGGAGATTTATGTGTTTATGTGTAAGCGTCAGAGGGTGGGGAGGGGGCGAGAGGCAGGTGCTACATTGTTGTAGGAGTGCCAGAATTTCCCTATGTCTTTATCCCCTGTGATCTTTGACCTTTCAGACAGCGATATCGCTCGGATGAGTAACAGATACGGGAAAGTGTCATCAGAGAAGCTCCAACACTTCAGCGACATGCCAGTGTGCGCGTCTGTTTGGTTAGATAACAGAAATGCTTTGATGGCTCAAGGCCCCGACTGCCCCATGTAGTCCAAACCTCTGACAGACAAGCCAGGAGAGGGTGCCTGTGTGAAGTGTGGATGAAGCAGGTGCCAGTCTGAACATTTTATTCTCAGGAGGACACAAACTTGAGCATCATTACGGTAAATGCAGCCATCAGTATTTTAGGCAAGGGGGTTTAATGCTATAAAGTGGCTTTACCTCAGCAGACCCCAATTGTTAAATATTGTGAATTTAAAGGCAGAGCAATGCTAGCAACTGATGATAATCGTCACTTAAAATGAATTAAGAGTGAGAACCTTTATAGGTCACAAAAGTTGACACTATATATTTAAGCTTTCAGTTTGCTTATTTTTGCCTGGTCATACACTAAAGGTTTGTAGACACCTGCTCGTCCAACATTTCCTAAATTAAGAGTAAAATAGAGAGTTTGTCCCCCTTTTGCTGCAGTAACACCCACTACTCTTTTGAGGGGTCCATCTCAGCCACAAGAGCATTAGTGACGTCGGGTACTGATGTTGGGTGATTATTTCTGATTTACTTAAACTCATCCCAGAGATATTTGATGGTGCCTGATCACTCCATAGAAGCAGTGTATGTCTCTCATTCTGCTTGAGATTATCCCATTCTATTGGCATTTCATACAAGCAATGGGAGCATTAGAAGATGTCTGGATGCTTTTGGATATGTAGTGTGCTTTGCTAATAACCCTGATAAATTGATATTGTCCTGATTATTAATTCTGGGAATCAAAATTGTGATACCTTTCAAATTATTATAACACTGTTTGTATATCTATATAATTCATTTCTATATCTACACAACTACAGGTTTTTACAAAAAATAGTGGTGTATACTTTTTGGCTCACTGATGCTGATCAGACCAACTTAGGTCTTAATAGTTGGAACTGATTGGCATGGAAAGGTTTCAGTATTTGGTGCAGTGGATACAATAAGGAATGAACATCAATACCCAGTAATGATTCTGTTCTTGCTTTCTTATATGAAGACACCATTACTGTAATAAGGATGCCTGCTGTGATGCTTTGACACCTGAGAGCAGTTATAGTGATAATAGGAGGATTTGAACTGATGTCACACTCACGTCAGTCGGTTCTCAATGACAGCAAAGACAGATTACCCTTGCAAATGAGTGAACTGAGTTCACTTTCAAAGAGGCAGTGAGTACTGAAATTATCAAATGTAAACCTATAATATAGGTATAATATATACATACACAACATTTTAGGCAACACAACAGGAGAATGGACGAGAAAAATGCTTTGTGTAAAATACACACAGGGACAACCTTTACTCCCAGTCAGTATGTTTAAACCACGCGGGTGCAGGTGCCTGCGGGAGCAGTAGTTTAGAGATGATCAACGGTATCGGCTCTCCTTTTCCTGAATAATCAAGTGACCAGTTCACTAAGCTTTTGATGCACTGAGGGTGTAATGATCACCACCTGTGAGTTCATATCACATTTCTTCCTGTATTCTTTGTCTCTTTCTTGTGACTGCACCACTTCGTAGAGCATAATGCAGATGCGGTAGGTGCATTAGTGGGTTAGTGCGGCTGTGCTGAGGGAGATAAACATAGAACTCATCTAACAGGTGTTCTTTTGGTTTTGGTGGTTTATCTTGCGCGCTTGATAAGTTCACCGAGTGAGTCTGTAAGGTAATTTTGTTCTATGTAATAATCATGTGGTGACGATGCCTTTATGAGAAAAGCCTTCTCGGATATTATAACTTTAATCCAGCTTCTCAGAGGCTAAAGCCCCAGTCCCTGTGTGTTACAGCGGACTGCGTTTACGGATCGCTTCTCGTCCGCTCTTCACTTTTTTCTTTTCCCCTCATTTCCTTTTGACTAACAGGTGCTTTAGTGTGTGCGTACGACGTTTGTGTGTGCGCGCGCGCGCGCACCAGCCACACTAGGTTAAATTGGAGCGCGCGCATGCATGTGTGTATTTATTAGCTCGTGTTGAAAGCGCGAGGCGAGCCAATAGCCTGTCAGAAACAGCAGCAGCAGCTCGAGCGCCGCTCACCCCGCTCAGTGATAAGTGAAGTCAGGACCCCTCCGCACGGCTCTGACCCCCTGCGTCCTCACACAAAGGTAAGAGGGGCTGGATCTCGCTGGATTAGCGCAGCCACACGTTTATTTAGTCTTCAGACTGAACATTCAGAGAAGATTAGCTGACTAAATCGTAGAACTGACGGCTCAAGCCAGACGGGTGAGAAACCTAGCTATGTTAGATGTTTACTGGATGTTACATGTTCTAGATAATCTGTGTTTTCGGGTTTTAATTCTGCGGTTGTTAACAAAGTCTGTTTAAGTGTTGTTTAGTCAGTGTTTTTGGAGGTTAAGGAGAGGCTATGCGTCCACAACTCTTTTCCCACCCGTACTCGGTTCAAATCCCGCCCTCCTGCGCTATGATTGGCTGGTATCTCACCCTCGCTGAGAGAATGCGAAAGCCAGCCAATCGTAGCGCAGAAAGCGGGACACTACTAGCCAATCCCGAGACAGAAAGGCGGGCCGTGTTAGAATACGGGTGGGGTTAAAAAAAAACCCTCGCGAGTGACCCCGCGTCCTGTTCCACAGCGGAAGGAAAGATTCAGAGTATTTTACCTTCAGCTGCTTCTCACAGACAAGGAGGGCTGTTTCTGGATTAGGTTTACAGCCCAGTAATTCTTACCTGAGTTTGTAGCATTTGTTCAACATAATACAGAAAAGCGGAGGTTGTGAATGTCTCTCGTTTCTGAGAACACAGTTTTGACTGGTGAGGTGGTCTGGGGGTCTCTGGGCGGTTTAAAAGTAGAGCGGAGGCCTCGAGCTCTGCGTTTCTTTTTAGAAACTGCAGCTGCTGGCGCTTCTCGTGCGTCACGGCGCTGCTCGCGTGGATTGACAGCGGCATGAAGTCCGCGAGACCCGAGACACGCCAAATATAGCGCGCGTCGAGCCGGGAATGCAAGCTAGCGGGCGAGACGGAGACTCACCGGCAGTGCGCGCTCAACACCGGGCACGAGCCCCATACAAAACACGGCGTGGTGAGCCGCGTGAGACCGCGCGGTCTGCAGCCGTTATCTTATCTCTCTCGCGCTCTCACTCTCTCTGTCTGACTGTCTGATGGCAGAGCCGAGGGGTAGTCATATCTTAGATAATGTCTCTGCCGTGCAGACGCAGAATTTCGAGGCCTCTTCGCCACCTGTTCACTTCCCCAGATAAGATCCTACAGATGATGACGAGGAGAGGGGGAGAGAAAGAGAGAGAGCACTGTGGTGTGCTGGGGCCTGAGCAGTAGTGAGAGAGTAATATGAGTTGAGCTCTGAGGTAACACTGGAGGTTAAAGCAGTGCACATTCTCCACATGAGCGTCTAGCTGGCACAGTCATGAACTCTGATATCGGACACCTTACAAGACATACACACTGCGGTCTGTGTGTGCATTAGCTGTAAGAAGTGTACATTTCTAATTTGAAAGAGGAAATTCACCTCATTTCTTTTTCATGATGGATTGTCACTGAGATGATGTGCGAGAGAAAAAGATAATTTAGGCCTATGTCAAATATGAGGACCTGGTTTGGGTTCATACATGACTGTTACTATATGGTGTTAGGTCTCCCAGCTTGATTATAGTTGAACGAAAAGTATGACATTTTCAAAGACATTTGTAGTTTGAGCCAGGTCAGGTCAGCATTTTCTCCACACAGCTACAAAACTGAACAACCTCTTCTCGGCCTCTAGTAGTTGCTGCGCATTGTGTAAGGGCGTACCAAGCTTGCCAGTAGGCAGGCAATAAGGATTGTGTTACGAGATGACGTCACCTTGTAACAGTTAAAAAGGTTGGAATTTCAACAAGCTGTTCCAGGCAGCTGAGAAAAGTGGTTTCTGTGGGTTACAGTTGCTCTCTCTAGCGTGTACTGTGGGCGTTATAACTTTGCAGAACGTTTACATTCACAAAAAGCTATACAACACTAAAGGAAAGTGATAGAAAGTTAATAAACCACTATTGCAGCAGCGCATTATTCTCCAGTGACTAATATTATATAAAGATTTGATAAAGAACAGAACAAATGAAATCTTGTAACTCACCTGGAATTTTTTCTACAGCTCTGTTCATTTCAGTGCTGTGGGCAGTGATGTGTTCCTATGAGCACTCAGATGGAGGAACATTGGTTATCAAAGCTAGTACAGACAGAATACTAGCTATCTAGACACTATTGTTTAAAAGTTTGGAATCACCATTTAAAAGTTTAGAATCACTGTTTTCAATAATATAAAACCAGTGTAGTTTATACCACTTCAGTTTACACTATGTAAGTTGTTATTGAATAAAATAACAGCAAATAAATAATAATTGTGCATTAAAATATGCATAAATGTGTTCTCTGTAGAGGATATGTCAACTTATTTTCACTTAGAAAATCAACAAAACATGAAATTTGGTAACACCTATATTAATATGACAAGTGATTTCAAATGTTAAAACAGTAGTGTAGATAAATAATGAATTTATGCTAAACGTTTTTAAAGAATAAATAAGTCTGTCCTGTTGACACCATCATCATCATCATCATCATCATCATCATCATCATCACACTCAAGGACTAAACTGAACTATTTTATACTTGCATTTATACAAGACCTTTAACCCATAACTGAGTATTAAGGTAATAGCTATGATGAGCCTGTTGTGTCTCATTTGGGACAATGTCCTTCAGTTAAAATCCCACATGTCCTTTTTGCACAGTTCTGCCTCATAAAGAAGAGAATCTGTCCATTCGTCTGCTGACAGAAGACTGTAAAGAGACACAGGTAGAGCTCCTGATGTGTCCAAGTCATGGGATGTAAGAGTTTAATGAGCTGTGACTTATACAGCCTCTGAGTGCCAAGATGTCTGACGTTGAAACTGAAGAGAAGAATTTCCCAGAGTCCGTAACGGGCAGGGAAAAGCCACCCACGTGCTGTGTCATGGAATCAAAAAAGGAGGATTACAATGGCAGCAGCTGCATGGAGCAGCAGGTTAGGAGAAATTGTCCAGGCACTGTTTTCCAATATTGTCTCTCTCATTCTTGTCTCTTCCTTTTCTAATCATCGGTTCAATATTTTCTTCTCCTGAACAGCTGAAAACAGATGCTAACCAAGGACAACTTAAAAGGGTAAGAGCACCAGAGCTGGCACACAACGTGTACTAGTAAAAGGCAAGATAAAAAATCATGTCAGGCAAAACCAAGAGGTGGACATTGTAGTCATTGCATATCTGTGATGCTGTACTGTGTTAGTACTAATGATAAACACTTAAGAGATGCTCACTGATTTAAGCTCCACATTGCAGAAAAGATCATTGTTGTTTTTAGTTGGTATAGTGTGAAGGAGCCAAACTGCCCAAAGATCAGTGCTATTTTGTGCAACTGTGTTAAATTACAGAATTGCCCAAAATATGCCTATTACAGTAGAACCTCCTAGCAAATCATAGAGGCCATCAGAAAGTCAGATGTCATAGCACAAATGTACAGGGTGGTGTTCTTAGTGAAGGACCACATCACTGCACGGTTTAGTTTTTTCCCTGCTCAAACACATATTATAGCTTATGAAAAGCTTGATAATAAGCAGACTGAATGAATTAGATGTGCTACCACAGAGAACGTACTAAACTTTATTCTGCTGTATTCTCTGGGACTGGGTGTGAAGAACACAAAGAGAAAGGTACCCAGTTTAAGAGGTACTGCGAAGATATTAAATGTGTACTGTTTTCTTGTCTTCTTAAACAGAACACAAAGCAGTAATGTTGTGATATGAATGGGCTTTCTTTGTCGTAGCTTCCACACTGTATATTACAGTTTTGGATGTATGTGAATGTGTAATGTGTGCTTTATTTGCTGATTAGTAATCATTGTCTTGTTTTTCAGCATAAAGGGAAACTAATCAGGAGCGCAGCTGTGTGTGACGAGCCTTTACCCACTGAATCAAGCAGCAAGGTAAAACCAAACACACAATGCCATTACATGTTTGGCGTCTGAGCTTTGTTTCTTTAGTTTTCAACTGGAACTATAAGGCTAAAGTACCTAACAAGTAATGGAACATATACCCCACCAGTTAGCACAGTTGTGCACTGTTGCCTAAAATGGACTGTTGAATTATTAAGTAATTTCAAATACACTTGTTTATGTGGTGACACTGTATGACACACTGCTTTCTATAAAAATGGACAAATATATAAACAAAAATTCTTACTTCAAAGTAACTGCTATGACTATTTTTAGCAGTACTATCAGGATTTCACAGCCATTTTTGTGACTTTTGCAGGCGAAATGCTTAATTTTGCAGTAGCTTTTCTCAAAAAGAGCAGCAATATTTGCACTTTGTTTTTGAGGGGGTGATTTAGCAATACAACTGTAAAGGGTGTGATGATTATGACTTCTGTTTTGATTTGTTTTGTGCCGTTTAGTGTAGTGTAGTGTAGCCTCGTTTGTTTCTGATGAAAAAAAAACAAGCGAGAAACAAATTTGAAATTAACTGAGTAATAAGAACACAGAGACAGATTTGGTATTAAAAAATAATTTTAAAGTTTTGCAAGTTTTAAATACGCAAAGAAAAGAGTTTTTGTTAGTTTTTTATTAAAATTATGGTATTGAACTATTTGTAGGCAAAATAAGCACCATATTTCTACAGTCAGATATTCAGGAAAAATGAGGAATGAAGTAAAATAAAATGCTCTTAAACCTATTTCAATAGAACATCCAGTAGAGTGACTCAGTGTGACTCTGAATTAGGCCTGGGCGATAACTAAAAATAATTAGCATAATATTTTCTTATCTTTATAAAAATCAGGATTACTGATTATGCACTCGCTGCTCTCACCAGACCACAGCAAAAGCACACACACACGGACTGCGCGACACAGCATGTTGCACAAAAGATGCTCAATTACAGTTATTGTGAATTCACTTATGATTTACACATTTAAATCAGTAATAATTAGACAACATTGTGAGCCCCTACAACTATTGCAAGGGTTGGTTGAATTTGTGTGAATTTGTGAATGAAAATTCCTGAATAACTGAAATATGCGATGTTGATTTGTAGTGTAAAACTAAACAACTTCAGACAACGAAGACATTCTGGCTTACTGACTACATGTAAGCTTAGGGGAAATGAGTTGGGTGAGTGAAAGCACTGTGTGCATGTTTGTGTTCTGTAGGAGTCTGAGAGTGAGAGTACCACCACAACCGACAATGCAGGCAGCTCAGAGTGTGAAGAGGAAGAACAGGGGAAACAAGAGTGCAGCACAAGGAAAAAACCCAGCTTATCCAAAGGTCACAAATGTGTTTTGTATGTGTGTGTGCGTGAGAGAGAGAGACAGAGAGAGAGAATGTGGTCCATTCATGCGAGTTCATCATTGGAGTTTTTTATTGTCTCTGGAATTAAATGCTGTCACATTAGTGGAACTGAGCTGTGTTTGGATGTTTCAGAATCAAGTCTGGAGTACACAGATTCTACAGGTATAGATCTGGAAGAGTTCCTGATCACTACTCTGAAGAGCAGTCCCAGGTACTGTGTGAATGTGTTTGTGTGTCTGTACTGATGAACCCCATCAACTGGAATCTTTCCATTAGTGTGTTGCTGAATTGTTTTACTCTGTTCTGTAGAGACAGACTGATGCTGCTAAAACTGGAGCAAGACATGACTGATTTTATGACTGACAACAGGTAAGATTGTGAATGTGTTTGTGTGTATGTCTACTGGACTAGAGAACAAAACCATAGACAAAACTCCAGTGGAAAAAACTGAGTCATATATTAAAAATTGAATTCCTGTCCTCACTTTTGCAGCTCCTATAAGAAGTTTCCTCAGATGTCATCCTATCACAGGATGCTGGTTCACAGAGTTGCGGCTTATTTTGGTTTGGAACACAATGTGGATCACAGTGGAAAAGCTGTCATCATCAACAAAACCAGCAACTCTAGGATGTACATGTCTTTTGTATTCTACTGAGTGTGTATTTGTAAAGGGAGAGTGTGTGTGGTGTAATGATGTGTGTGTTTGTATTTAGACCAGAACAGCGGTTTGCTGAGCATGTTCAGGAGGAAAAAACTGAGGAAAGAAGGTCAATACTTAAGAGAGACAACAGTCAGGAGAAAGAGGACATCCAGGTACACACACATACTCTTAATCTCTACTAGTTCTCAGAACAGAGTGTTTAATCAGTAAGTGCTTATTACTGATTTCATCTTTGAATATTCATTCTTTACCTATCAATATAATTATTAATAATTTCATCTTTGATTTTACATTCTTTACCTATAAACAGAGAAACATCACATGATTAACAGAGAAGAGTCGATTAAATGGTCTTAAAAGGTGAACAACTAAGCAGAGTACAGTTCTAATTAATAAGAGCATCCAGAGTTTAAGTGGGTGTGTTAGAGCTAGGAAAATAGGGTTGGGAACAACTGACAGCTTCAGTCGGGCCTGAAATTTTGAGTCCAACAAAATTCTGTCCAAAACTGTCCCAGACTGCTCCTTCACAACCCAAAGTACTGAATAAAACAAGGTAGGTTAGTGCCAACTAAATTACCGCGTCTCAACAGTCATAGCTATCATTAGATCATTAATACATAAAATAAAAAATAATATAGCCTAAAATAATCAGCTTAAATTTAAATTCCACTGCAAATAATATGTTCATCAAGCAACACTTTTGAACAACATCCTAAAGGCAGGGGTGATCATTGCACCAGGCAATGGTAGGCAGCAACCTAGGGCCCCCATGAACCAAGGGCCCCATGAAAATACATACATACATACATACATACATCATCTAAACCGCTTATCCTTCTGGGTCGCAGTGGGGTGCTGGAGCCTATCCCAGCTGTCATTGGGCGGAAGGCAGGATACACCCTGGACAGGTCGCCAGTCCATCGCAGGGCAGACAGACAGACATACACAATCACACACACATTCACACCTAGGGGCAATTCAGCATGTCCAATCAGCCTGACTGCATGTTTTTGGACTGTGGGAGGAAACCGGAGTACCCGGAGGAAACCCACGCAGACACGGGGAGAACAGGCAAACTCCACACAGAAATGACCCTGGTCACCCAGCCGGGAATCGAACCCAGGCCATTCTTGCTGTGAGGCGACAGCGCTACCCATGAAAATATAAATTAGATATTCTATACACTTTGATGTTAAATAAACTATCCCAAAACATATATGCATATACATACCTTTTTATTTGTGATTGTAGGGATTTTCAGCTTTTTTCATCTTATTTTCAGATTATATCTCAACTTGAATGCAGCCTCACACCCTTGGTCACGTTAATAATGGACTATTCCATCTTGTTACATGCTGACACAACTGCATAAAGACAGACTGTATGAACATAGTGATTAAGTGATAATCGACATTATGAAGGAGCTTCTTCAGTTGATTTTCTGGGAGTTGAGAAGGAAAATCAATAAAGACATACAAGTGCAGCAGAAAGACACAAAAAGAGGGAACAAAGCAAAATGTTTGTAGCTCTACTCCCAAAGCTAACTTTGTTTTTTTCTCTCAGAGCAGAGTGCTGCACAGTCTCAGCAGACTGTACATAATGCCAGCATTATCATAGCATAGATAGCTCCAGTGTTGGAGTCCATTGTAGTTACTAATTATTTCTCTCAAAATGTAATGGGATTATATTACTTATTCCTCCTGGAAAAATTATCTCATTGCCCATTACATTTCTTACTGTGTTATTATCGCACTATATGTGTATATTTCAAATATATTTCTCAAAACAAGCAAAATGATCTTATAATATTCTTACAGAAGTCTCAAAATGAGAAACATTAGAGATAACAACTAGTCTTAAGATGATTTCGCTTGCCAAGATATCTTTTTTTTTCAGTGCAGACAGTTGTGTCACTAATTTAAAAATGTGCATCCAGGGGGCACCATTTCTTTCTTTTTTCTAGAATCCCAGAATCAATAAATACGCCGCTGCCCAAAGGTTCTTAGTCTGCCTTTTAGACTACACTAAACTTTCCATAACGCCCTGTTTTCATGCTGTGTGGTGCTGATATAGCAAGATGTTAGCCTTCACTTGTTTAATCTTGAGTAACTATTACAAAGAACATCTATTACAACTAATACAACAAAATCTATTGAATGTAAAACATAAAACAAATGTTTTTGGTTAAAAAAAAAAAAAATGGAGAAATAACCTACTCTTTACTAACAATAGAGGAAGAACTAAAGACTCTGATGTGGTGTGTGTTTTGGTGTATTTTGTAGATGAGAGTGCCGCTACTGAAGGAACAAATGAAGAGTAAGTCTATTGAAGAGAGAGAGGAAGAGTATCAGAGAGTGAGAGACCGCATCTTCTCTCAGGATGTGAGTGCACAAATGCCTCCAGTTTCTTTAAAATGCACACATACAAATACACACCATTCTCAACGTTTCTGTCTTCTTCTCCTCTCTCTTTCTTCCAGCCATCCTGTCCTCCTAAGAGTGTTTACATTGAGACCAGGTAAACTTGGTACCACCTGTGTATGCCTTTAGTCTTAGATTGTCATGTGTTTGAAATGCTGTATATACAAATATAAATGTTTGTTTCATAATTTACAGAAACAGACTTGTTAGATTGAACTGTCTATTATCTCCTTAAACTGCAAGGGCCCACACATGGCCAACACATCAGTTTCTTATGCTCATAACTACATAACATACATACATTACATACATACATTTATAGTTTCATAGCTGTTATTGAATAATTTATGTTACTGAAAAATGTCTTAACATTAACAATGCTAAAAATAACCCTGCTGACTCAAATCACAGATATCTAATGGTATCTCTCTCTATCTCTATGTCTGCAGAGGCCCAGAGGAATGCTGTAATATGTACAGTGAGACCCAAAGAAGGAGACAGCTTTTCAGGTTAGGACAAAAGTTAGGACTGAATAGGCGTTAAACTTCTTTAAGCTGGTTTAAAATTTCTTGTGTAAGCAGATTTAATTTAAGGAGTACATTTCATGGTACCATTAACATGAAAGAATGTGCTATATTAGTCACTCCAGTCATCAAGTGACTTATCTGATATCATAGCTCTTGCTGGCTTGTTTGCAGGAGCACGAGGGATGGTTCTGGACGGCTGTCGGGCAGCAGGCAGAGCAGTCTTGAGCTTGAGTGTTACTGGAATGACCCTCGACCCTGGAGCAGCACAGACTCCGACAGCTCCACCTGGACCTCCAAACCCACACACTCACGCACAGATTCCAGCTCCAAGCTTGGCAAATCAGGTATATGATACACACCAACCACAATGTGCTTCAGTTTTATGCTAACTAGAATGTCCAAAAAAATACATTACTACTGCTATATACCACTTAAAGCAGCCCCCTAATGCCCCACTACAAAAGCTGAGTAGCTCTACACACATCCAACTTCAGCTACCTAAATGCTGTACAGTTATGGCAACACTGTGTCTAGACTGAATGTTAAAATGCAGCTTAAAGCAAAAAAGGTAGGGGAAAAAATTAAGGTAAGGTAGTATTGTGTAAACTACATTCCTTAAACATGGACAAAAGAATTGACACAAGTATGGGCAAAACTTTTGTAGATAATATATCATACAGCTCCAGAACTTACAGCAAGTCTATTTGAGATGGCCTAACAACTCAAGACAGTTTGAGGCAGTGTTTGAGAGTTTAGTCATGCGCTTTGCACAACACTAAAGCAAACTTTGGACACCAAACATGTCTCGCATGATCAACTACATTTGGGATAAGGGGGACACTGTGTAAATTAAATTTTTGGCTAAAACATCACTTTGTCACTGCAAACTAAAACACTGACGTATGTAAACATCTTTAATCAATGCAGTAAATTTAATTTAGAGATAAAATAAACTCTTTTATTTCTCGTGTCCCAGTGACAGAGGCAGCAGCTGCCAGTGGCTCTCTTCCAGGAGCTCCAGCCAGTAATAGTCCTGCCTACATCCTGGTGCCCCCAGAATCGTCTATAATTCCTGGGAGTATTCTAATAAACCCACATACAGGTATACAGACATACACACAAACACATACTGCCAAACATTATACATACTCTAATCACTGAGAATGTGTTTGGGTCTGATATTCTAGGACAGCCATATCTGAATCCTGATGGAACTCCAGCCGTTTATAATCCGCCAGCGAGTCAGCAGTCATTGAGCAGTCAGCTAAACACAATGCAGCCACAGGCCCCGCCCCCTCCCCCCCAGCAGCAGCCAGTGACAAGCCATGGTGTTCCACAGGTGGGAGGAGCTTCTCAAACACAGTTCATAGCTGTCAACCAAAACCAAATGGAAATAGAGAGGAGGCTGACAGAAAACCTGGAAATCTGTACGATTTGATGAAATCTCTCAGTAACACTTTATAATAACAGGCACTGATAAATAGCAGCGTAATCATCATAATAACTTGTTCATGACTGTTAATAGCTATGTAATAGATGCATATGCATTAATACATAGTACCATTTGAATTATTAACCATTTCCATAATGAGATACAAATAATTCATAATGATTTGGAATTATAATAAATTATATTTATTTGATACTCATAACCCTTACATTATAGAGCCAAGCATTTTCTTAGTTTCATAGTAAGTAACTTATAATAATTATCCTGTCCTATTTTAAATGATAAAGTAGTTATTTATATATATTATCATGCTCTTTGTGATGCATTAACTTTTCATCAGTTCTTAGTCAATTATTATTACGTGTTTAATAAATACCTTTTTAAACATTAACAATCATTAATTGGACCTCTATTATAAAGTTTTGACCTCACAATGTATTTACTTATATATCCTATACTTATTACACTTAAATATTGTCGCTGTCAAAAGTAAAGCAAGTATCTCCAAAATGGCAGCTTTACAGGAGAAGGCAAAAATGTACTTTAAATAAAAAGGCTATATTCCAATTAATTTTGGAGCATTACTATTGGTCCATTCATCACACAATGTGAAGAGCAACTGTTGAGTTCAAAATGGAGATTTTTTTCAGAAAGCGACAAGCGGATACCTTAATGAAAAGCAATTACAGTGATTTTTGTATATAAGTAAAGGTTAATAATGCAAATGGTAGCATGTTTTAATTCCCAAGTAACAATTGTGTAATTATTAACTTTCATTAACTATTGGTTATTCACAGCGGCCTGTTATTGTAAAGTGTTACCCATGTTTCTCATCATTTCCTTTTAGTGCTGTTATTGTCTTCACAAAATAGGTTTGTCAAACAATAATCTCAAAAATAATCTAAATCTCTGTGTGTACCACTTAGTCCCAAGTGCTGTGCTCTGTGTGGTACAATTGTGAGGCCTGCTTTCCACTCTTAATCTTTGCGGTATACAATGTAATGTTTACAGCATGCCTAAACAGTTTAGAAAAGGCATTTATTTCCCTTTTTCCTCTCAGTACAATTAAATTGAATACTATATTTTAGAGAAAATGTTGTGGGCTGTTTAGCACCTGATTGTTCTTGCTTAGCATCCAATTTAAATGTCTGGATGCAGGATAAATACACTCTGCACTTTAATTGGGAAGAATTTTGTGAAACAAACTTCTTTTTTATCTGTTTGGAGAGTGTGGAAAGCTATGAGATTTACATTCACAGCTGTGAAACTGCAGCAAAAGCAAAAAAACATGAGTCTCATGGGTAAACCATGAGACTTGAAAGGAGTATAAATAGATGGTGCTCATTAGTAGAGCAACAATAGTTTAGGGTGATGTAGAAAGACTGGAGAAAAGGTCTTCATATCAGTGCAAGCACCTGCTGCAGAATCTCAAATAACTAATAAATAGCCCTGAGGGTGACAAGGATATGCATCTCTCTCTCTATCTGTCTCAGGTTCAGTACTCCGCAGTGACGTATCTTCCGCCACAGCAGGTGGTAACTACTTCACAGCTCTACCCTCCAGAACAGTGCGTAAGTACACCTAAGCCTGTTTCATGTGATTTTTAATTATTGTTTTTTGATATACAGATATACAGATCCAGATGCTTCTCCTGTTTAGTGAATTCAGATCCTATAAGAGCCCCTATTACTGACTGTGCACACACAGCTTGCTATTGCAATAGAAAAGCATTGCCAGTAGAACAGCGTGCTCAGCAGCAGCTTCACATGAGCCTACGTTTACCATGCCCATTGTTAAGCATTAGCCAGAGGGGTAATAATACCCCCAGCATTTGACTGTGGAGAAGTGGAACTGTGATGGAACACCATCAGATACATTTGATATGAGCTGGAGTGGCATTTGTGATCCAGCACTAATCAGCTAACATCAGTACCTGCTCCCTAATGCCCTTTGTGGCTAAAGGCAATCAAATTCACACAGGTTCCAACATCTAGTGTAGCCTTCCTAGAAAAGTAAAGGCTGTCAATGCAGCAAAGGGGGACAAACTTCTCATAAAACTCCTTGATTTCGGAAGAAACCTTGGATGTGTTTACTTGGACATACAGTGCATTTGTGATGTGTTTTACAGTCTGTAATATTCACCATCATCACTGATATATCATCATATGCAACAGACAAAGATATACAACACAGAAATACAATGATTAAAAGACCAAGGGCTTGTTTTCTCCACAGAGGGAGGACCTTTCATCTCAGTTCAGTCACATGACACTGAGCCTCCAGTCTTCAGGTGATGTATCAGATGTGCCCACCTACTACCTACATGGAGCTCCACCAACACACAGCTATACACAACCCCAGCACAGTTATGCCCCGCCTCTTCCTGCAGACAGCTACTTAAGTTCAGGAATGGGTTTGGCCCCTCCTACAGCCCCGCCACCACAAACCTGCAGCCAGCAGAACACTCAGGTTCTCATCATAAGTGATTGCACCCTTTTTAACATATACTGAGCTGTAAATTGACAGTTTACAGTTGAAAAGCTAATGTATAAAGTGTACAGTTTTTATGGTGACATAATTTTTCTGCTCCTCTTTCTCTAAGGCCTCAATGTATAGTTACCCAGTGCAATGTCCCAACACACTTCAGCAGTATGGACCACCCAGTTACAACACACAGACAGGTAAATGGACATTGCATTGAATTGAAATTCCAAATGTATATGGTTTGTATGTGTGTCCATATATATATATATATATATGGGGTGCAGGAAAGAAATCGATTCTTAGATGCATCAAGATGCAGACGTGGACGATTCTGAATCGATTCACAAATGTTAAAAATCGATTTTCTAAATATTTAATTTATAACGTAATGTTGACGGAACGCAAAAGGAGGAACTTGGAAGTGCGGAAGTGCAGCGCCAGGACAGTCTGAGGCGGCACATAACAAAAACACAACGGGATGAGCGAGAAATCCGACCGACTCCCTCTGCATTAAAGCCAGGTTAGGTCAGGAGTCACAACACAAATGATAAGAAGAGCCATTTTGTCCTTTCAACAAAAATCAAACCAGCTTGGGAGCCACAACATTTATGTCCAGTATGTTTCAGTATGTGATAATGTTCTAGTGTAGGCTAAACAATATAAACAAATAAAACAAAGTATTTGTAATGATCCATAATGCATTTACGTCCAATATCTTTTATTAATAAAACAAATGGAAGTGATGTGACAAGTGAACTGGAAGGCTCTCATTCACTGCTCTTGTTTGGAGACGCTGCTGCCACTCATCTGCGATAAAATGCACTGTTACGGTGAAATAAGATCCAGTGGTCATGGATGACCACGCACACATTATATATTCTTTAGTGATTTTATAACTTCGGTTTTGGTCTCGTGATAGAGGGGAGGGGGCGCGAAAGACTGCAGGTCACGTAGCAACGAGGTTTCACAGAGCGAAACGAACAAAAAAGGAAAAGAGACAGACAGACAAACATTTGGAGATCAATGGACTTACTCGCATTTATAGGCAGCGCAGTTGGGTTTCCTGGTACGTTAAATCTGCAACGAGAGACTAACTAAAAAGTTGCGAAGATGAAGTTGCTTCTCTTTCTAATTTTCCCGTTCCACCTTAAATGGTGCCGCAATTACATTCGCCGTCTCAGTCACAATTTAAGGTGGAATGGGAAAGTTCAGCAAGAAGCTGCGAATGAGAAGCGACTTCAGCCTCGTAAAACAGCCGAAAGCTGAGAGACATTTTACAAGAAACTATTCAACTTTTGAGGAAAAGTTTTCCGGTGGAGATGGAAGAAAAGTGGCTATAGCTAAAGCTTAAAGCAGAGCAGAGCAAGTCTGTGTTTTCGTTTATATTGTTTAGCCTATACTAGAACATTATCACATACTGACACATACTGGACATAAATGTTGTGGCTCCCAAGCTGGTTTGATTTTTGTTGAAAGGACAAAATGGCTCTTCTTAACATTTGAGGTGTCGACCTCCTGACCTAACCTGGCTTTAATGCAGAGGGAGTCGGTCGGATTTCTCACTCATCCCGTTGTATTTTTGTTATGTGCCGCCACAGACTGTCCGGGCGCTGCACTTCCGCACTTTCAAGTTCCGCCCTTTGCGTTCCGTCAACATTACGGTATAAATTAAATATTTAGAAAATCGATTTTTAATATTTGTGAATCGATTCAGAATCGTCCACGTCTGCATTGTGATGCATCTAAGAATCGATTTTTCCCGCACCTCTAATGGAAAATGACACAGACGTCTCAACAACTAAATATAATATCTTTTTTTTTCATTCTTTACTCTGACCACCTTTTGCCTTTATTACAGCTTCCATTTTTTTTTCTCTTGAGAGAGAGACTTGCTTTCAGTTTTGAAATGAATAAAATTGACTGGAAATGAAATAAATTAAGGGTGATCTGGTCTCTGACATTTACACAGTATTGTGTGTGTGTGTGTGTGTGTGTGTGTGTGTGTGTGTGTGTGTGTGTGTGCTACAGTAGTTGGGTGTGACGTGGTGAAGGGATGAGATTATAAGAAAACAGAAGCTTTTGCAGTTGTGCATCTGTCACAATCTAGTACAACGAACTTATATGCTGTATTAATATAGCACTAGTCAGTTTTTTTTTCTTAAAAAAGAAATGTAAAACAACAGATTAGCTCTTAATAACAGATCGGAATATGAAATAACAAATGAGTTCTTATAAACAATAATTTTGGGAGAATTCACACAAATCATTATTAATTCTCTTCTTGGGGAGGGGCCGTACAGTGAACCAGTCTCTTCTCCTGCTGCCTAAATCAAAGTGAAAAGACGACACAGGGTAATTGTCGTTTTGACTTGTCAATAGAACTTACTGCAAAAAAAAAGGTCGAAATCTGTCTAAAAATAAAAACAAATTACAGTGATGGAGTGAGCTGTCACCATGGATACCACATTTTCAGTATATTAACCAAGGGTATCCACTCATAGAAAGGCAAAGTAGAGGTGTATCCTAGGCTGATTTCATGAAGGTGGTGTTAATTAGCCAATAAGTTAAATCGGGAATTTAATTGCAAGGAAAACATCAACCAGAGGAGGGCAGTAGGGCATCAGGGCTGGGGGCAGGGGCCACTTTACCAAAGCAGAAGTACATTCACTCAAGATTAAAGCCTTGCTTTTGACTTCTCCTAGGATATGCTGTTCAGCAACAAGCTTACCCAAGCATGGTGGGAACCCAGGTGCTACCCCAGACACAACAACCCATCATGGGCTCTTACTCTTCCACTTCCTCTTATCAGGTGATGATACAAATAGTTTGGAAAGCGATTTAAAAGGTTATTGAATAATAAGTTACATGTAGTGACTATATTATGTCAATTTTTTTCAAGATGGCGTCACAGCTCCAGTCATACCCCTCTACAGTGTTGGTGTCCAGACAGGCTGGGCAGTCTCAGAGTGCAGTGCCCCCAGCTGGAGTGTCAGTCTACTGCACCCCCCTGCCTCCCTCTCCACCCCCACCTGGCAACATGCTGGGCACCACTTGCCAGTCAAGCAGCTGCAGAAACGCATGCAATAGAAACCAGAACCACTGCTGGTACTAACGCACACACGGTATCCCACACTGACTGTAGCACTGATATAATACTACTGGAACGTTCATTCACACACGCAGACACGCCTACTCCAACGCACAAATATAACAGGCAGAAAGACTCACTGGTAGCACCTCTCAGTAGCACAACCTGCCTACCTGATTTCACTCCACTAGCACAGTCCAGGCACATCCAGCCTTTTCTACTTTTGTGTGCCATTTTAATTAAAGGTCTCACATTTGTGACTTTTTTTTTTTTACATGCACTGATGTATATGATATAATGTGCCAAAATTGTGACAGAATTGCTGTGTTTATTAAAATGCACCTCTGCAGTTTATATTTTATTTCTTTTAAGAGTAATATGTGTTTTAATGAAATGCAATAAGATAGTTATTACATATCCTGTACAGAATCATTACTACTTCCATATTGAAAATGCATGTCCAGGTTTTTCAATGTGCATGTATAATTACAGATAATAAAAGCTGTCACTAAGCTGAAGCTGTGTTGCCTCTTCAATAAAGGCAGCCTAATTTTGAATAGCAGTAATTTTTGAACACACCTCACTACCAAACTTGATAAATCTCTATGCTTAAGGGAAAAATCGACTGAACAAAGTCATGGTTTGGTGTGGAATGGTGAATTGTATAGAATCTTACTGAATCAGATTTCTTTGCAAAGGTGGTGACTGGAAACAGGAGTCACGATGTCCACAACTATCCAAAAGAACCAGTGAACATACACGCTTCTGAGTTCTTATATATAACGCTGATGATGGGTAAATAGTGGTAAATCCAAAAAATACACTTTCTTTGTGGACCACTTTATCAAATCCCTGCATGTACCTCTCCACCATGAATGGATTTTAAAATTTGTAACCGTTTCATGTAATAACTTTGTGAGGTAGCTTGTAGAGCAGACTAAAGCTAAAACACACCTTATTTCATCAGTTAGTCTTCAAACAATTGATCATAGCTCCTAGTTTTTTTCCGGATAAGATTGTACACCCTTTTTCTAGAGGAATCAAATATTTCAGATGTCCAGTTTCTATCGCCACCACTGAAAACAATTCGGACTCTAAAATGGTGCATTTCACATCAAACTCTTCAGGTTTGTTTATTTTTTAACAATTTAATTATGCACAATTCAATGAAATTCCTCTTTAAGTAAAGGAGCACATTGCCCCACATCCATGGACCCATGGAGCTTACATAAACGTATGTAAGTTAATATTATGCACAATATGCACATTTACAATCAATATAGAATAAAAATCTCAGCTTGGGGTGGGCTAAAACTGTCAAGGAATCATAGACATCCATTGAAAAATAAGCTTATGTATGATTATATAGACCATAAATATAGACAAAATAGTTATCATATTGAATAGGCCTTTAATTTATACAAAGGCTTTGTTTTCCATCTACTTTCCAAATCATGAAATTATTTTGTACATCATTTCTTAAAAAAGTCTTTTTGTTTACAGTTTGTCTTTAGATAGAGAACAAAAGAACTAGCAGTCAGGGATGCAACAGAATTGGCCAAGATAAGAATTGTCAGATTGTCAATTTGACTATTTTCCTTTCTCAATTTTCATTGCAGTTTTATTACATAAAAACAAGAGCCAGGTAAACACTCATCTACATCTTTACCAAAACATCAAAGCATAATTATGCATTACTTACTGTGCTAAATAGCCAGTTGCCTCTTCCTTCCGATGTAGCACTTTATTTGAGTCGCTGTTTAAATAGGCAACTGACTTTTCATACATACAAGACTAATACAAAGTACTGTAAATGGGCTAGCATGTTTCATGTGTTCATTTAAGCCACACACTGTGTGCTTCGGGTTTTAAAAAAAAGGACTTTTCAGGTTAAAAACTGGCCTTAAATTTAAAATTTGGCTATAAATAGATCAGAATTTCAATCGGTCACATAAATTCATGATTAGTGCATCTCTACTAGAAGTGTGTTATCGTTTGATGTGGTTTAAGGGACCAGTTTGCTCAGAACACTACAAAGATTTTATCTTGCGAGTGCTTTGTAAAACCTATTCTTAAATGCTTGTGCATACAGTGATCTCTTACCTCACGATCTTCTCACTCACACATTTATATATTTCACTGCAGTGTAAGCAAGCTCACCGAGAGTGAGCTGTGGATTTTTTTTTGTGTGAGCTCTGTGTGAGTAAACATAATCACACAAATCTTCCTGTAATTGGATTACAGTTGAAGTCCATCAGTGCTGTCCAACCGAATGAGTGCACAGACTCCAATGTCTTCGGTTTAGATGAGCTTTAATAGAAAGGCACAAATACAGCCAGAGTGTAATGTGAGAATTAAAAGCTTTTAAATACAGAAACAGGTTCAAACTAGACTCCTCGATTCTGAAAGCACAGTCTAGATCAGCTCCACTGTCTTCCTCTCCTGCAAGAATTCAAGTATGTCTAAAACTGATGAGTTACAGCTGACTTCAACCCTACTGGGATCTGATTATACCCCATCTGGCTTTCTGGTTCCCCGTGCATGTGCGTGTGTTTATCTGAAGGTGTACAGGTAGGGGCAGTAACAGTGGTTCCCAGTCAGATTTCGTTATTCGTCCAGTCTGTTTCCGTGGTTAAGAAGAGTCTCTGTTGCCAATGGTAACGAGTGCAGGTTAAATAAAAGTAATAAATAGTGATGGGATTGCTGATGTCGTTCTCTCACCCAACTAAGAGGTGGGTGGGTGGGTGGGTGGGGTTCTGCGTGCAGGTATGTTCTTGTAGGAGCAGGAGAGAAAAATGTGAAATGACAAAATCAAACTCTAAAGATAAAAGATAAAAAGAGTAAGTTTCACAGATTTTTAAATAAATGTGTTAAAAAGGTCAAACTTAAGTTAGCTTACAAGACTATAATGCTACGGGGCTAAAAGTGTGTGTTCCTGAGAGCACACCAAGAAAAAAACTGCAAACATGCAAAAATCTCGTCAGCCTGGTTCAGAGGTCGGCAGCCATTTGGATTAGGCCGGTTGACCTACTGTGCCTCAAGTAAAATGTCCGCCTTCACTTACAAAAATACATTTAAAGCAGGTGCAGCCTATTTTCTGCTGGGTGGGCATTTTGTGTGTGTGTGTGTGTGTGTGTATGTGAGCCTTGAGAGGAGGGTTCTGAGCAGGAGAGAACACTGCATGGACACACACATCTACAGTACCACAGCATATCGTGAATAACACTGCCTAAACTGCAGGCAGATGAAAATAAAACGTCAAACCCAGTGCATCCTGGATTAGACCTCTAACAAACCTGTCTCTGTCTCACAGTCACAGAAATGGATTCCCTCTGTTCACTCCCATACATACATACATGCATGCATGCACTCACACCCATAAGACACGCATGCATGCATGCGCACCCACTTCCATACATACGCTCTGGCGGTGGTGTCCATTCAGACTTGTCCTGCTTTTTTTTGCTTTTTTTTCCTAGCGAGGGGTCAGCACGGCGCTGGGTCACATCATTGATGAACAGAGACTCGTTTTTTGGACCATAAAGGATCTGAAAGCATTTCCATTAACCATACACACACAAACAAACAAACGAACAAACTGAATCTACTGCGGTTCTTATGGGCTGTCTATTTATCTCTCTCTCTTTCTAAATCCTTGTTCTAGTCGAGGTATCTGTGGTTCAGCGGTGCTTCTTCTTCTCCCTTCCTCTCTTTAATCTCTCAACCCCTGCCTCCCCTCGCCAGCTCCTCTCTCTCTCTTTCTCCTCCCGTTCTTCTCTATTTCTGGATCTGAAAGATGAAGAGGCGCAGGTTGATGTTTTTGGCGGCCAGCAGCTTGTTGCACTCCACGCTGTCACTGATGGGCAGCGGCGCATACTCCGTCTCGTTGGCGTCGTTGGAGAAGACGTGGTGCTGGATGACGGGTTTGATCTTCACGTCGTCGTACGGACCCTTGAGCAGCAGGAAGGAGCACTCCAGCGCCGAGTTCACCTTGCTCTTTAGGATCAGCTGGAAGGAGAGCGTGCGCTTGCACGACAGGTTGGGGTTGCGCTCAGAGTCGTTGACGCGCGCCTTCAGCACCCATGTCTGGTTTAGCACGGTGAAGCGCGGCGTCTCGTAGTACAGCCGCGTGATGAAGTCATCTGTGCGATATGGCCGGAACTGCACCTCTGCACTCAGAGCAAGTAGGGGTCAGTTTTTGATTTTGCAGTGTTTATAAGGTGCAATGAAGAAATGGGTGTTTTTAAGTGTGCATGCACATCAAAGCAGTCTGATGATAATTTTTGATCAGTCCATTTTTGATAAATCATTGCTAATAACAAATGATATCAGCCAAGACATCACAGTAACTGATGAAGACATTTTCCAAGTGCAATGTAATTAACCATTTAAACTTACTTAAGTTATTATTATACAGAAACTACTATGAATAATTCAGTAACTACTATGAAACTACTATGTAAGCTTTGTATGTATAATACAAGCAGGAAAGTCTGTTTAAGGTTTAAAGTTCAAGGGTTTAAATTCTACTAAAGGAATAGTAAACCTTTATAAAACAAAAATAAAAATACCTAAAACTGTTTTTAATTCACTGCCAATAAAAGTTTTTCAACCAACTCAGCACATCTAGGGATCCACAATTTTGATTCACACATTTAAATGGAATAAGCTGACAATTCCACCTAACTAAGAATAAAGATGTTATCGCTTATTACTTCAAAACATTTTGTAACAGGTACAGTGCTGTGTAAAGGTCCTCAGCACCTAAACCAACTGCCTAAAAACACTTCTCAGCAATTATTGTGTTTTTACTTGCAAAAACGTAATAAAAATAATACAGTAAAAAAAAAAAAAAAAATCAAAAAAAGTGGTTAATGTCTTGTGATCTGGTTAGAACAACAGCTTTGGTTCCTGACCTCTCCCTGATGCCCGCAACCATTGCATAGATTTGTTAAATTCCATCAGCAGCAGTTTTTTTTTTTTTTTGAAAATGGTGAAATTAACACATTGACATACATAAAATCACTACTTACTGTATAACTGTTATTTGTATTTTTTGCTAATATTAGCGTTTTTTCTGAGAAAATAAATGCTTACATCTCAGATTTACAGCTTTATATGATGTCATTTTCTTAGGTGCCAAAAACGTTTGCACAATACTGCAAGACTACTTTAAATACTGCATCCAACCCATATTTAATTATGCCTTTGATACTAATGGCTGAAGAAGTTGTTTAACAAGGTTATCTGGGTAGCAAATGGAATTATGTTTAAGTTCTACACTTTACTCAACTTTAAGTGCTGTAACAGTGTAAGTGTACAGTGTGTGTGCACGTTGATGCTCGCTAAGTGTGTGTACCTGTGAATCCGATCTTCTCAAAACTGAGCAGGCTGAAGATGCTGTTATAGAGCTGCAGCTCTCTACGATGACTCTGATCCATCTCCTCCAGGATACCCATCAGTTCAATGCCAGTCTTGGATGGGTGGCAGCACTCCACCTCATGGGCACTGAGCTCATGGTAGGGCCCCTGCCATGGGCAGCCAATCCGCTTGTACTTACATTGTGTAAGTCTGTTTATGTAAAAGTCAGACACAAACAGGAATCAGAGAAATCACAAAGACAATGCTATAATGGTGTAGCTACAAAGCAAGTGTGTTTGTGTTTTAATGTGGGGGTAAAATGCGTTGACCTGAAGGTGGCAACTGCATCTGTATATTTGTAGGAAAGTTAGAAATGATTATTAGTGATTGTAGTTAATAATATGTAGTACAGCTTATGTCTTTTTGGAAAGCAAATGAAATAAAACAAATAAAACTGATACTGGTTTTTAGTGTTCATGTATCCTCCACACAGATCCTCCCACATTTGTATATTTTTAAAAATAATTCTGAATAGGAGCAAAATAATCAATTTGGAGGGTATAACTGAAAGACTGCTTGAAATGGTACCTATAGTGGGTGTGTGAGACAGAGTGAAAAAGAGTGATTTAGTATATGTACCTGTCCTGGCACTCCTCTGTCTGGTGGTGGTCCAGGCTGGAGCGAGGGAACTGTTTGAGGCAGTAGCTGCAGTCAGACGGCAGTTCGCTCACTGCTTTTTCCACTGCTAAGTTCCTGCAGCACAGGCTCTTGCTGATCTCACAGCGGCAGTTCGGACACGTGGCCTGTTCTTCCTTCAGTCGTGCGTCCGCCAGCAGGTGGATGAAACAGCCTGCACACATCAGGTGCCCGTTCGTGCACTACCACAAAAACATACCCCCATTTAATTACAACACAAAAATACATGCTAACAATTCCATTGAGGTCTGATTTTAAGATACTTTTACATGTATATTTGTTTTCCTTAGCTGTCAAAGATTACTGCTATATATTGAACTAGAGTATCTTATGTAAGACTTACACAGGATGTGATTTCATCATTATTTTCGTGCATGTGTCAGATGAGTGCTTGTCAAGACCGGAGTGGATTTGTACTGAATTATCTAAGTACAATCATCTCATTCAGTTCTCACACAAATGTTACTGTTCAAACGAATACAAACAATTTCACTGATTAACAACTGATGATTTTAAAAAAAGGAACAGATTAAACATCCATGATTAGTAAGAAGCTTTGCGGATCTACTTTATATGCTACTTGTTTTTTTTTTATCAAGTAACACTATTTTTATCATCTTCTATTCAACATAATTCAGTAGGTTTTGTTTTATGTGAACTGCTTCTGGAACACAAAGTCTTATTGATTAGTCGGTTGGTAACTGTTTTTCTTAATACCAATAAACTAATCTGATAATTATGGTGATGTTTGATTAAAACTTGTGTTTATCTGTGTTGAGCTCTATACCCATTTAATACAGACACAGTTCTAATCTGATTTGCTGAGTCTGGGGTTAATGATTCTGGTCTGTTACACATCCTGGTAGTCACATGCTTCTAATTTTAAGGGTGTGTGAGAACCCATCATCCATTATTAGAAATGGCACACACACACACTGATACAGAGAACGACCTCTCTGTTTGCCATGTATGATCAGCTTACACTGATCAGTATTAGAGTGTACATGGGAAAACGAATAATTGACAAATCCCTTATCCGTGCTGTGAAGTTGGACACTGACATCAGTTGCTTTGAGGGACTGTGGTCATTAACCTAGTAAGTGTAAAAATGTGTTTGAAGTGCTTAAGGGTAGTTGCTTAAAGATGTGGTTCTTTGAAGGCATACAGGAGGAACATTTTTGGGGGAGGGGGCTTATGAGGTCGGCAGTGATTGGGTTAAAGGGGGGCACGTGACACTGCTATGTTTGTCCCTGACTGCCAAACAGCTGGTCAGGTCACACACACACATCCTCTGTTTGAGCACTTAGACAGTCATACAAAAGCTACAAAATGAACAAAGCGAGTGTTAAGGGCCACTGGCTCAGGGGTTTGTGTGTGGTGGGGGTCTGGCCTACAACATGTCTGTGGGCAGGCTGTGGGGGCGCATACTTTTTTCAGTTATCAGATGCGTATTTTGGTCACCAATATACGCACAATAATCAGTACACCATCACGGTTTTAACCCTAATGTAGTAACAAACCACATTCACTATCACTTTCTGCTACAGAGACAGGATCTCCACTGACTATTTACGTAGCCATCAGGCGTAACAAGGCCTGTTTACGACCTACAGAGTATTTGAGCACTCGGTGCAGTTTGGTGAAAAGGCCAGTGGTGGTGGGGGGCTTCTGTCTTCTGTTGCCTGCACTGGCCTATTTATGCTGTTAGCTCTGCACACCTGCAAAATGGAGGCCTCGTGCTCGTGTCTCTAATGCCTCTGTAGTTGTATATTTTAATTACCTGGTAGACGGAGGCTTTGGGCAGGTCCAGGCACACCGTGCAGCACAGGACAGAGTACAGCCTTTCTTCGAGCTTCCCCGCTTCGCCCTCCTGCAGCCTCACGCGCTTCTTGGGCGGTGCGTCCGCGTCTGTCTCCGGTCCAGAAGCGTCCCTCCGCCCGCCGGGCTCCTCCTGAATCCCGGCCAGTCCAGCGTTCGCTTGCCCGGCTTCCAGGGCGCCCCCCACCGGCCCCACGCCGAGGCCGGACGAGGAGGAGCCAGGAGCGGCCGCTACTGCCAGCTCTCCCCGCTCTTCCATCGCAGACGCCCGCGTCGGATCCGCAGCGAGTGAGTCGAGAGCCTGTTTGGAGCGCAGAGTCTCCGGGGCTGAAATGGCTTTATTACGCGAACGGAGTCGCCAAGCAGCCAACAATGCAGCCAACAGTGTGTGAACTGTTTCGAAATAATGAGCTTCGGTTCATATGTAGCTGCTCGTCACAAGCGGAGCCGCTTCTGGAGGAAGTAAACGGCATATGTACGAAGAGCAGATGTGGGGGTGACGGGGTCACTTCAGCGCTCACCCGGACGATCTCTCTGAGTGTTTTGTCTAAGTCAGCTCTGCTGTCTGGCTTTAGCAGCTCGGGAACGCACAGCTTCTCTCGCCCTGCCTCAACGAAAACAACAGTGTGTGCTGCTCGTGCTCGACAGCGGGGCCGCCGGGGCCGCTCTCCGTCGTGACCGCGCGCTCTCCGGTCCGTCCGCCCCGCGATGCCGAGCCGCTTTCAAGCTCTTTCCTCCTCGCCTCGGTAAAAGCCTGAAAGTTGCTACTTCTGTGCAGCGTCTTCTCGACACTTCTCCCCTCGGTCTACACTGCCATCTTTGTTTTTTTCTGCCCGAACCCTCCCCCCCCCCGCGCCTCAGTCCGCTCATATCATCTTAAAGTAACCAATCAGAGCGGCGTTTACTCAGAGCAGGGCGAGTTAATAGCCAATCCCCTGTCCCGCTAATAGGTGATCAGTGAATGTTTTGCCCCTAGTTGTTATGGCTGGTTCGCCAGTCCTCGCTCCCCCCCAACTCTGCTCTGATTGGCTGTGGTGAATGTTGTGTTTCATCAGATGACTGGGGGGATTTAAAGAGCTGCGCGCCGCGCATGCGCAGCGGCCTCCTGCGGGTCAGTGAAGTTCTGTGAGTGAGAGCCACTAAAAGGTGACCACACACCGAAATGCGACAAAATGGCAACGTCATTTATAGGCGTCTCCCCTCGTGTTATCAGAGAAAACAACTGGCTGCTGATCGACCACAACATCTGTTTTTTACGAACAGCCCCTACTTTTCTATAAGGCACAAGAAGCTGTTTAATGGATACCTGATAAAAGGGATCTTTCCTTCTTCCCTTTACTTATTTCACTATTTTTCTCATACAAACACAGTCTGTCCTGTTTGGAATAGTTGGTCTAATAGCATATTAGAACACTGCCCTGCTAAATAATAGAGAATATTGTGAGAAACAGTTGTTAATGTGAGATTCCTGTAATGACAGCCAAGCTCCAACAGCTTACTGCATTTCTTTCGGTTCTTTACTTGAGTGAAACCAGAGAGTGACCCTCTGGGGGGGTTGGGGTGGACCCTCTGGGGGTTGGGGGGGTGGCCAAACTTTGGCCTTACAAAGACACAGTGTAATCAGATAGACTGGCCCAGGCATGACAACTGTCAGTCTGTCCCACAGCTTATGTGAGTTGTTTGTGTGTAAAAGTGACTGGAATTGTGACCTAGTGTAAAAAGGTTGTTTAAGGATTTCTGGGTGTGGCTGAAACAGTGTCTGCACAGTTTAATCATTGAGATGTAAACAAAGTCATTCAGAGTGGTTTGACATGAAAAGGTGCATTGTAGAAAACTGTGGGATTTCTTTACAAAGGTGACAATAGAAACCAGGAGGCGCAACACAAGTGAACCTACACGTCTTCTGAGTTTTATGTGTAATGTTGATAAATGGTAAAATAGTGTTAAACCTGAAAGATAAGTTTTCTTTGGGGACTATTTTGACCCACAACACCCTCCATAATGTACCTACACACCAAACCACTCTGAATGACTTTGCCTTCTTAAACTTTGAATCTTAATGAATTAATTATGCAGAACAATCTCCCTTAAATCATGGTCTCAAATGTTGTAAATCTTGCATATAATGTAAAAATATCAATACTAACCCAGATAACATGTAGTAAATAGGTTATTACAAGTCACAGTCATCAAAATCATAATGCTACCAGTGCTGTCACTGTTTGACATAGTGACCCAGTTTGTTCTTCTCCATGTGCACAAAGCTGCTATAATGGCTGCACTAGGCACACTGGTGTAGGACTAGCCTATTCATGTGTGAATCAGTGGGAAAACAAGACATGTCTTGATTTAAATTGTTTTATAGTTGTTACTCTAATAACAAGACAGTAATAACACATGAACTAGAACTAAGCATGTATAATTGTAGAAAATAACTCTGTTGTAGTAAAATAGTTCTCTTTCAGTCAAACTATTAATAGAAATGTGTCTGTCTGTCATAGAAAAAAACTGAGGAGGCCAAGGGTTACTGACTTGTAGGCCAAACCTCTCAAATTCTGGAAGTTTTTGACCCCAGAACATTATAGTAACTGAGAAATTACTGCAATGCCTTTCAGAATTACTGTTATCTTAGACCCTCTGCAATATGCTTACCTATGTAAATGGGAGCAGATGGTTAATTTCTGAATACGACTTCTAAGGTTTTTGAACACCTGGAGTGATTCATTTGCTTTGAATTCTGCATTTTGTTTCTGACCATTAAAACCTTTCAGCCACATGTTTTTGCACAAAATTGTCTAGAGATGAATATTCCTCTCCTGACCTCATAAAATCAAAATTGTATCTACAAGCATTCCTCATGTGTAAGATTGCAAAACACATTTACATCAAACATAGGTATTAATGAAGTGCCAATATTAAAAGAGAAGGATTAGCTTCTGTTTTGTTCCCTATGTACACATTTAACTTCAGTAGATTAAGGTGTAATCAGGAACTGGGTGATATGTGAAAGTTTTCTGATAACACATGAATGACGTTTGTTTCTAATGATGTTACATAAGAGACTCTCTGAATCATTTGTGTTCTGTTCTAATGATCACTTTGGCTTAATATCTGACAAAAGATATTGCAAGATTTAGAGGGGAAAGCAAATATTAACTCTTTGGGCACAAATGTGTTCTATCAGAATTATCATTAGTTATAAACTCGACCAGAAGCAGAACTCCAGGACATTTAACAGACAAGCATGACTGGACTGTTTCTTAGCATTTATCAAAAAAAAAAAGGTTTTACATTTTTTATCAATGTGGTAAAGCAAGCTATGTAAGACAATCCACATTTTGGTAAATAAAGGTCCTGAGGAAGTGCTGTAAGCATATAACTGCAATACATTTTCCAGAAGCAGCGTTTCTTTGATAAAAGGGTCATTATTAGAAATTAGGCTTTTTTATTCCTTAAGTAATGAATAATTCTAATCTCTTAGTTACTGTGTAAGTACAGTGTGTTAACACAAATACAGATACCTAACACAGACACTTAATTTTCATTCCTGTACTGCTAAATATTTCATCCACTGTTTTCACAAAGCTCTTGATAGATCCTTTATTAATACAAAAATAACAGATAAATGAAAATATAACCTTCACGTACAGATATGCAATGCCATGATATTAATTCAAGTGAAAGAAAGAGAAATTCTTGATCTACGTAATAGGGCTACTAACAGGGCTACTGATACATTGTAATGACTGACTCTAACCAGCTGGACCTCTAAAGGGGCTTAAATAGCTACCTTGTTTCCACACTGTCATTGGCACTCAGGTTACACAGAGCAGGCCCCACCTCCACTTTTTGGGTTCTCACAGTGGTGGCTAAAAACCTCCTTTTACATATACTAGGCACTCTCACTGCTCACTCCTTGTAAGTTTACATGTAAAGAAAGGAAAGGAATGGTTTTATACATGGATTCTCTCTCTTCCTCTTATTAGCACAACTCTACTATGAATAGGCCTACGCAATGTACAGTAGTTTCTCCATCTTACAAGTAATATGCCTTGGTTTATTAGAGGACAATACAGAGCTAGTAGCTGCTTTGACTAATTAATTAGTTTTAGTGTGAATCTGTGAAAATGTGAGCTATGTTTTGAATAGCATTTTACATTAGATTAGTGCACTCTGTCTAGAAACGCACAATGAGATCAGAATCATATGATTATCAGCAGATATTTGCTTATAATGCTAAAAATGGCATTGGATAGATTTGTCTGATATTTCAAACCAATGTTTGGTGACACATTTTTGGTACTCTGGTTTAGGTTGCGCGGAACTACTGCGCTACAAAATCTGCATTTTATCAATTTTACTGCATTTGTAACCAACTACAAATGAATATTACATTTCTCCATAATGCTAATCCTGGGGCATCTAGTCCCAGATTCTACAAATGTTTATACAATGGTATTATCAGATATGCACATCTTAAATATCAGATGGTCATCAGCCCACAGTTCCCATACTGGTGCATCCTTAACTTATTTACAGTACCAGTGTTCTTGTGGTTTGTGTGAAACAAAGGGCAAAGTGGATTTCAATTAAATGAGAGTCATCTATATGACAATATTACTTTATTTAAATGAGCTCAGATATCTATATTAATTCAGTGCCACATTACGTGCTAGCACTGTCCTTAAAGGGAATTCTACTGATTTTTAAAAATTTCTGTGTAACTCATTAAGATATAAACAAAGTCATTCAGAGATGTTTGATGTAAAATGCTCAATGAAACTTGTTAACAGTGATGGTGACAGGAACCAGATGTCTAAAGAGTTTAATGCTTCTAAGAGCTGCCTCACAGAACATCACAAAATGGTTATGATTATGCTGTCTGATGATTGAGACATTGTTTTTATGGTAGTTTTGAGATAAGATTTTTGCCTAAAATAAATTCTTTTAAAAGTTCAAATTTGTACCCAATGAAAACTTTTTCCCAAATTTACCACTATTTTAACTTTGTCAACATTACATATAAAAACTCAGAAGACAAGTGTAGGTTCACTTGAGGCTAGAAGGCTAGAAGGCTAGCACAAGGGTTCCCATCCTTCTGCAGCTTATGGCCCACACAAACGACCACAAAAGCAGCTGTGAGCCACAAGAAGATTCTACTGATCTGATATATTTTTTCTGACTCACCTAAGAAGATGGCTAAACTTGTTTGCCAGTGACCAAGTGCCAGAAGTCAGGCTGAAGAGAGGAAAGCTTACTAAATTTGATTGGTTTAGCTACATATTTATTCTCCAAGTGTACAGCACAGAGGGCAGTGTTCTCACTGCATAGCAGCGCATGCTACTTACTGCTGTATTCCCTTTTGTTTTGGTCTATGCTTGGTTCTCTTGGTTTTCTCTGTCTGAGATATGGTGACTGCTTCACTAGTTGAGGGCTCAACCTCAGGATCATTCCTTTTGAAAGACCCTTTTAACCATTTATCAATGGTTGAAAAGTGACATGATTAACACTGACTTGCTCTGAAAATTTAATAATAACAAGCTAGCATTTTGCCAGAACAATCATTTTTTGTGGTTTAAAAAACCCTGCAATGGCCCTTTGTGACTACTGGTTCCTGTTACTACAATTGTAAACTTATACAATCAACCATTTCACATCAAACAACTCTGAATTTCTTTGTTTACATCTCAATGATTGAATAATGTAGAAATGTATAAAAAGTGGTGGAATTCTCCTTTAAGTTAAGGTGTCTTATCTTGAAGAATTTTCTGTTGTGGTCTTAAATTTCACATGCCTTACTGAGCATCCTGCATATTTCTAATGTCAGGTGATCTTTCATGTGTGTTCTAAGATATCTGGTCTGTTCTGCTGTTCCTGCTGATTTTTGGCCTTTCTGGTATGTTCTGGGTGCTGTTCTGCTTGCTGTGAAGGTCCAGGAGGTGTGCACTGCTCTGTTGTTTGTCTGTTTGTTGTGCTAATGTCTCTTGTACGTGACCATTTTTACTGGCCTCTCTTGTTTGTAATGGACTCTCAAGAGTCTGATGGTCTCTCAATGTGTACGGTTGAAGCTGATTGCTCTCATCCTCTCTGCTGCCCGGTTTGGGTTGGTCTTTGTTGTTGACTGTGATGCCACTGCTGTTTGTGTCCCCCTTGTGGTCGCTCTGTGATGCTGCATGCAGAAGCCATCTATCCTGCAGAGTTTGACTGGCTGTTAATCTCACAGCAGGGTCCACTTCTAACAGAGCCCTGATCAGAACTTTAGCTCCTGCAATGGACACATGCACAAACAATAACTCAACCTGTGACCAGGGAGGTACTGACCACTTGCAAATGGAATGGTTCTGAGTTGCATAACACAGAAACTTTAGTGGTTAATTGAAGTCTACCTTAGCATTTCTCTGTATACACTCCTGGTGTGACTATCTAGTGTTGTTATAATGCCATTATCAGGACTATCAATATCTTATGTAAATATTTACCTCTATTACAGCACATACTTGTAACCCCCCAGGGTGGAGTCAATTGCAATTTTAGTCAAATTGTCAATTTTATATATTTCTGTAGTTTTTCCTAATATATGTACATATGTGAAGGAAGGTTGGAGAGGGAGGATGCAGTGGCACATACTATCCACCAAGGGGGCCTTGCACTAAAAAACATATGTTAATACTCTGAAACACATACATGAAGTTATAGAGCAGATGCATTTTATTAGTAAGTCAGGTGTCCTTTCAGAGTCGCACCTTCAGACACATGGTCCCAGTAAGGTGACAGGAAGTGGACCTCTCCCTTCTGTATAAGACAAAAGAGCTCCTCCTGATTGCGGTCTGGACTGCGGAACGGAGGAAACCCACTCAACAGCACAAACAGTATAACTCCCATTGCCCAGTTATCTACGGCAACACCATATCCTACAGAAAAAAAGACACACAGCTGAAGACTATAAGCAGAACAAAAAAAACAAAAAATACAGCAATACTGCAACTTGAGACCTGTACACCAACCTATTTGCATAAAAAATAAATGATAAAGGTTTTATGAAATCCTCTTGCCTTGAATCATCTGAGCTTTTCATAAATTGTATAAAACATTCTGATTTGCATAGCAGTCTCCCAAGTAGGTCAAAGCTGGAGGCTAAGACTCTGTTTGTTCAACTGCTGAGTTTGGCTCTATTGCTGAGAACTGAAGGTTCCCAAAATGGGAATCCACAAGACCACAATTGGCTGTGCTCTTGCTGCTGGTAAGGTGTACATATACTGTCAGCATGATTATTGGCAGACTTGTTAAAGTTTGGTTAAAAAAAAAGATTATGAAAAAATGTCTCTGTGGGTAATTATATTACACTGAAAATATCTATAGAAAGTCTCAACTTTAACTGAAGTAAAGTTAGTCCAAAAAAACAAAACCCTTATAAGTTTTTTAACAAAACCACATGTGGCACAATTATTGGAGCCAAAGCAATTTACTATTACTATTATTTACTGTTTAGCATGAACTCTTTGCTAAAATAAGAGCAATAACTCTTCTCCTATAATGCTGAATTAAACTGGAGAGTATGTAATAAGGAATGTGAGATGACTCCTCAATACAGAATCTCTGCAGGTCCTAGGCCCTCTCTTTTTTAGACTCTCCTCTTCAGCTGACCCACAGGTTTTCAGTGGAGTTTAGGTCAGGGACTAGGATGACCATGTCAAAGCTTGATTCTTTGGTCACTGAACCATTTATGTCAATTTGAATGTATGTTTTGCATCACTGTCCTACTGGAAGATCCAACCATGACCCAGTTGTAGTTTTTGACAGAGGCAGCCAGGGCCTTTGGAGGAAGAAGAACCCCAAAACATCAGGGATCTTCCATGCCACACCATACCATACTTAACAGTAGGGATGGTGTTCATTTCTGCATAACTATTCTTGTTTTTACACCAAACTCTTTTTTTATACCAGAAAGGTCTATTTTTGCGTCAAATGGCAATCAATGACTATCATATGGCTAAGGAAATTTGGCCGCTGAGAAGCCTCATATTTATACCCCAAAGAAACTGGAAATGTTGGATGAATGCTAAAGAGTTCAAGAACACACAAGTGGACATAAAAAGTGAAATATAAATGGTAATACGCTGCAGTTACATTTTGTGCATAAGAATTCCTAGGGGTGCCAATAATTGTGGCTTTGTTACAAATGATAAGTGTCTTTGTTTTTTTAGGGTAAATTTACTTCAATTAAATTTGAGATTTTTCTTACATTTTCAGACATTTCAAAGACATTTTTGTGACTTTCCTTTACATATCTTTATCAAGAATTCCAATAATTATTGGGCTGACTATATATATGACCAATTATTCATCCTGTCTGAAGTGTCAAATCCATGGTTTGAGATTGATAGTGCATGCCTCTTTGTTAGATTAGATAGACAGAACAGCGTAACTGGCACTCTCCTGTGTGTGCTGAACTTTGGTTCGTATTGTCTCATGGGAGGCTATGACTAACTAATACTGAAGTGGCACTAGTAACCAAATGCACTTCCAATAATTCAAATCAAAAGGTGGCTCTTCACCTGTCTCAGCAAGTATTTCAGGAGCAACATAAGTTGGTGTGCCACAGACTGTGAACACTGGCTCTGTCACCACCATGGCCAATCCGAAATCAGCCAGCTTCAGACTGACACTTCCATTGCCATGTCGTTGGACCTTAGCATCAGGTTGAGAAAGACAGTAAACAAAAAACTTTGATGACTTCAGACTATAATTTGCTGTAACCAGCTGGTCCTAAAACATTCTGTTTGTCTATGTATGTCTCACCAGTAGATTTTCAGGCTTGATGTCTCTGTGTGCAATGCTCTTGTTGTGGAGGTACTCCAGAGCCTGGCTGATGTCTCTGATCATTTGGGCTGCACATGGCTCACTGAACCGCCCGCTCCGGGCAATGGCATCAAACAGGTCACCGCCAGTGACCAACTCCATCAGCAGGTAGACGTGTGTGTCTGTGTGGTGCGAGCGCAGCAGCTGCACCAGGCGTGGGTGTGCCAGACTGCGCAGCAGGGCGATCTCATTCTGGATCATGTGACCACGACCCTGCAGCTTGGCCTTGTCCACCATCTTCATGGCGAAGGTGTGGGTGCAGCCTCGCACGCAGCATTCCCGCACCACTGCAAAATTCCCTTCACCCACCACACAGCCGATGTCATAGCAGTGCTCGATTTCTTCTGGTGAAACCTCAACATCGTCGGGTGGAAGCTTTTGCTGCCAGTCTCGCTGCGCCACTATTTCTACTTTAGGCTTGTCCTGCTCAGCAGGTGTTTCTGTTTGGGTCTCAGGAATGAGGACACTTTGGAGGGCATTTGGGTCATTGACTGAGCTCGGATTGTCTGGTTGTACTTTAGTCTTTTGATGTTGCTGTGATGGATTTTCGGTCCTGTTGTCCTGAGAGGGAGGAGCTTTGCTCTGATTACTAGACCTCTCAGATTTAGCACACTGTCTGTTTCCAATTGGGGGAATAGGTGCACCAGCCCCTCTACAGCTCCGACAGTAAACAGATTCTTTCTTCCTCTCTGTCCCTTTCTCATCTTTAGTCTGAGCTTTAAGGTTTCCTTTCCAGTGCTCCCACTCTCCTCGCTGCCTCTCTCGCCTACCCTTCTCCTTCTGCCTAACTTGTGCTCTGATAGGCTGCAAATTGTTAGCTGCTATTTGAGTAACCAGTGGCTCAAGGGCTACATTTAGAGAGTTGTTGACCTGGAGGTCATCGTCATGGAAACCGCTATCAGCCTTGGCTGCTTTAGGCCTTAAGATCCGCTCCCACAACCTCAGCAAGTGTTCACGGTAGCTTGAACTGTCAGGATACAACTCCTCCAGGGCAGCCTGTACGTCTCCAAGGGATGGACGACTATTCCCAAAGGCCAGGAAGGCATGGTCAAAGTGGAAGAAGTCTGAGAGGCTGCGGATCTCTCGACCAGATGGACTGAAGAGGCGACGGACACGGCCATTGCTCCAACTAGGAAAACCAAGAGCTTCTGATACATCAGCTATGAGCAGCTCAAATGTCAGCACTGCCCGCCGGTTTAATAGAAGAGAGATCTTCCGCAAGTCGTGCTCTCCACATGGCCGAACCACTGTCACGATGCGTGGCCGCACTGGACTCGCCTCCGCATGCCGTCCATGGTAGCCACTTGCCCTCTGCACCTCCTCCCATCCATATGAGTCAATCACAGCACTTTCCAAGTGTCTATAGGCCACTGCATGTTTCGGGCTCTTGGAGCCAAATGTGTATGAGGGTTGAGCGTGCCGAGGAGCAGCATTCGGGCATTTAGGAAGTCTAGTTCTCTGATCTGAAACATACAGACAAACTTAGGCTCACACATATGAAACTTCAGTGTTTAAATGATAGAATAGCGTCATGATTTTTAATTTTCCCTTTACCCTAAATGGCTAGTTCAGGGGTCGGCAACATGTGGCCCCAGAGCTGCAAGTGGCTCTTTTACTGCCCTGTTGCGGCTCCACAGCAGAATTACATTTTTAGGTAAAAATGCAATAATCCTCCTTTGCAGAAAAATAAAGCTCACCTGATGCTTCTAGCACAGTTTTAACAATAAATGGTCTTAAACGCTGGAGTTAATGTATAACTGCTAAATCGCCCTTTAATCCCTGAAGGTTGGTGCGCAGACTGCTGGTCACACAGCAATGCAGACAACAATCTTGCCTAGCTAGTAGCTACGAAAAGGCAAAGAGAAAGATTTAAGATGAACACTAATAATTTGGAGACGAATGGACTAATTTGCACTTCAGCTGGTTTCCTGATACATTTAATCTGCAACAAGAAACTGTCAAACACTAAAGATTTGCAAAGCTGAAGTCAGCTTCTCATTCGAATACTCCTGGTCCACCTTAAATTGAAAATTCGAACAAGAAGCTGGCAAATGACAAGCTGACTTCAGCCTTGTAAAAAGTCAAATGTTGAAAGAAATTTTACAAAAAACCATTCCACTTTTGCAGAAAAGTTTCCTACCGGAGATGCAAGAAAAGCAGCTATAGCTGAGCTAAAGTTTAAACTACAGCAAAGTAAGTCTGCATTTTTGTTTATATTTTTTATCCTATACTAATACATTAGCCCATACTGAGTCTGGACACACAATGTTGTGGCTCCCAAGGTGGTTTGATTTTTGTTTAAAGGACAAAACGGCTCTTCTTAACATTTGGGTTGCCAACCCCTGGGCTAGTTGATCATTCAAACGTGTGGTGTTCAAAGACTGCTTTTTGTTTTGTACTAGGGTTACAAGACTAATGCAACAACAAGTAATGGAAGTTTATGCTCCACCAGTGGAAGCTTCTACCGTAGAACCAATGGATACATGCTTAGGCTTCAGGATGGTTTCTATGACTGTTTCTATTGGTAACAAACCACACAAGCAAGTCTTTTTGAGATTACTTAAAAACCGAGCAGTTTGAGGCAAGTGCATGATGATGATGCAGTTTGCTTGATGCTAATTAGTGATGTACATGCTTCCATTTTTTGTTACTTATATTAGCCTTGAAGCTCCAGTGCATAACTAACTTCTGACATTAAACATGTCTTGGCCGACTATATTAGGTGTATATGTAAGTTGAATTTTAGACTACATCAAACCTTTAACATCTGCAGTCTTGAATTAACACCTAGCTTGTTTATTTAACTCGGGCCGACACAAACAAACAGTGTAGGAGTCAATTCAAAGCTGTGTTTTATCCAGGTCATATGTAGATGTGGTTCTTTTGAACACTTTATTACAGTCATATTGCTAAATCTACGTCTCCTTATGTAGGAGAGGTCACAGAGTTGTGCCACCTTTCTTAAACCTGCCTGCCTTCCTGGAAGATGATTTAGATGATGTTTCTGAATTTCCTGTACTGAAAGAAAAGGTTTTGTCTCAGCTTTGCGTTCAGGGAAAAAAGCACCCTGGGGAATGAAGAAGGAAGTGCACAGCTTTAATAATTCAGTGCAGGTGCATGACGAGAAGCTGCTCTGAGCCAGTATATTCTCAGATAGCACCTCACACTCCAGGGGAACGGAAAAGGACCAAATCTGATCATGTCGGATCTGCTTACACAAGACGTAGCAGCACAACACAGCTTTCTCTGCGTGCTGTGTGTGTGTGTGATGTGTGTGTGTGATATGTGTATGTGGTGTGTGTGTGTGTGATGTGTGTGTGTGTGTGTGATGTGTGTGTGTGTGTGATGTGTGTGTGATGTGTGAGTGTGTGATAAACCTAAACTAATTCAGTATGTCAATTAAACGTTATTTTACTTTTTCACATTGAAATCGGCATTAAAAACTAAACAAAGAAATAAACTTAACAAACAAACAAACAAAAAAACTAACTAAAAAACAAAACAAAAAATTCTAAGCAAAACGTTTTTGCCAGAGGGAGCTGGACAGAAAGGCTAAGGTCAAAAAGATGTCTTGTTCCAGACTCGGACAGGGTCTCTTACATTGTGTGGTTTTAATGAGGCTGCCGCACAGGACAAAACATCTCAACAACTCAGACAAAACCTCCCAGTGAACTTCTTACCACTGTAAACTAAATTGTGGGCAGCCAGTGACTGTGAAGCAGATCAGAGCAGCCATGTCAGCTCTCTTCTTCTTTAGTTTCTGAAAATAAACCTTCAAAGGACTTTGTTCTGCCACACAAGAAATGAAAAGGAATGGCAGACAAAACTGTAAATATTTTAGAAATGACCTAGGTGGACTTAATAAACCACAAAGTGCTAAAATGGGGCAGATGATGGGTTTCCATCTTTGTATGAAAGTTACCTGCCACTTTCCACGGGTGTCCTGCAGGCTGAGGCTCCAGGCGCTGTTTCCACAGAGGGGTCATGCTCTTCTTCAGCTTCTCGGCCACACACACTGGGGGCCATCAGGTAAGAAACTTCGTTAGGAAGCAGTAAACTCGGGCCAAACTTCTCCTTTTAAACTTCGTATCGGATAAAGTGTTACGCAACGAGCTATCGAAGCGGTCCGATCTTACACGTCAGGTAAGACGGGAATATCGGGAGCGCGCATCTTTTAGACAGCGGGACGAGCTCGCGCTACCGGATACGGCACATCCTGATGCACGAGCGTCTCCACGGTAACCGTCCACCTCTTTAAATGCAGAGCGCTAAAGTACTGGCTCGCGCGCGCGCTCGTGCACATGCACACACACAATGAAGCACGCATTGATAGGCTATAGTAACTCTACCATGTCCACTGAATGGACACAGGCAGAGGCAGAGCTGATCAGTGTTCCTCTTTACATTCTCTGTTGCAGACAAGTTTGTACATATATATATCTCCATTTTTTTTTGCGATTTTACTTTACTGCTCAGCAGCTGTCCTTTAAGTTTCATGATGATTAGACCAATAGAAATGCTCCAAAATTGCTTAGAATAAAATCTTTTTCCATTAATTTACATTGAAAGTAAAGAACGTGTTTGACTTTTCCTGTAAAGTTACTATTTTGGAGATATTTGCTTTTCTTTGGACAGCGATGATATGTGTGTGTGTGTGTGTGTGTGTGTGTGTGTGTGTGTGTGGGTGTGTGTGTGTATGTATATATGTATATACAAATATGTATCCAGCATCATCTGCCAACATAGGACTGAACTGTTTTTAATGCTGTTATTTTTGTCCAGAAAAAACTTTAACGAATGATAGAAACAATAATACATATAACTATAAGACAAATATAATCTACTAAATGTAGTATATAAATTTATAAATAAATCCCTAAGTCAGTGCATACACCACTTATAGCAAAATACTAATGCTCAAATCTAAGAGGGGTGAGAAACGGCAAAGAACTTCAGGCACTCCACCAACTGAACAGAATGAAATTCCACCAGTTTTTCAAAATGTCTGTACGGGCAAGAATATAAAAACATATCCGAGCCCAAATTACATACATTACTTTGAGATTTCTTTTTTCCAAAATATAATTTTTAGTTTTACTTTTACAGTTTATGTCTCCCAAAACGCATTTCCCATTTAGGCACATTCAAACAAAAATTAATGATGTTTAGTGCTGCTTATTACACCATATAAAACTGTTTTAAAATATTAGTCTGGTCTCATAACTCTTTGTTTAACTGTTTTTTGTATTGTTGCTGCATCTAATTAGATGACAGGAGTACAAATTGGTCTGCTTGATTTATCTATTTGTAATATTGCACTAATATCCATGCTAATGTCACTTCTTCCTTTTTGTTGTGGTGTGTTCCTTTCCATCCTTTATCATTTGCGCTTCTATCATCTTTTATTTGAGTCTTTGTTTCACCAAAATACCAATACTTCAATAATGTTTTAGTAGATGTTTAGGCTGCTTTACTCACCTCTGACTACAGCCCAACTCCTGGACCACAGTTATTCAAATCATGTATAATCACATTATTATTAAAATCTTCATGTGCTGAATCAGGTGTGTTGGGGCAGAGAAAACACTAAATGGTGCCTTAAAGAAATTCATTTGACTTGCTACAGCCTCAAACTCACTGCAGTGCAATGAGCTCATTCAGGGAATGAAATACAAACCTGTAATTTTATCACAGATCAATTAACTGTACAAACATAGCAAGATGGAATTCATTTGTTTTGTGTTTTTTTCTTCAAAGAAACTGTGCACATCCAGCCAGTCTTTGTCCACTCAGTTCCAAGTGGAATTCAGGCATCCATGATTATAAACATTCAGCAAATCACCGACAAAAATGTAGATTCTTTTGAACAAATATGGTAAGTGTGTGGGCTCCAAAACCTACTCTCTTATTTTGTGTGTTTGCATTTTATCACCACAAATCATAGCCACAGATGTGCAGCTGTAATGAAGGCAGTTTGAAGCTGAAATGCTTTCAATCTGCTTTTCCCATTTTTTTGCTCTCTCCGACTCGGTCTCTGTAGTTTCAGGCACAGTTCATGCAAAACATCCCAATACTTTTCATTCCGTCTGTTGGTCTCTCTCTCTCTTTCTCTCTCTCTGCATGGGTGCATTTCCATGGTTACTGCTAACAAAGGCCTGCCCTTTTGTGTCTGCCTTTATTCTGCTGTGAACTGGGCATTATCTCATCCACCTCTAATAGTGTGTGTGTGTGTGTGTGTGTGTGTGTGTGTGTGTGTGTGTGTGTGTGCGTGTGTGTGCGCTTTGGTGGTGTTCGTTTGCATTTGTACACTTGCAGCTTGCAGTTTGCAGTCTTTGTATCTTGTGTCACCTCCAGAGGGCGCCGCACACGTGGCAGAGAGCACAAATCTGAATGCACATACATGCATGCACAAGCATGTTTATTCGCACACAACTGCAACAAGACTTTTTGTCACTATGAGAAAAGATGGTGAGTGGAAAGAGATGTGAGGCCTGTTAATAACCCTGATACAAGCACTGCTACTACCACTACAGCTGTAATCCTAAGAGGAGTTCTAGACATTTCTACAGGCTGTCTTCCAAAAATGAGCTTCACCTCTCACCTCTTTTCCTTGAGGTCACATTCTCAAATACACACTCTGTCTCTCTTCAGCACCTGTTTTTGTCAAATGTCAAACACATGACCTCAGTATTTAGTCAGTCACACAGTTGTGTTAGATTAAATAGACTGATAAATGAGACAAAAAGCATGTGTATGGAGTAATTTGGCTCTTTTAAGTATTTTATCAATATTGTTAAACAATGTGCTGAGAGATTTGATGTATTTTGCAACATAAACAGTGTATAGTGTCTACATCTCTGCAGCTTTTGTAACTTATGTGAAAGTATGTGTACTCTGTGTTGAGTTGGCAGCAGTAAACTGAAGTAACTGGAGAAGACACGTGGAGGCCTATGAATGAGCCAGCAGTAGTAGTAGCCTGCTTATTAAATATCGCACACATATACTGACAATTTACCCTGCAGTGTGAGTATGAAGGCATTTCATTTTATACGAACAGAAAAATGGCATTTCATCTAACAATCATAATATCAAATTACTACTAAAGTGAAAATTGCAGCTGTCATTAATCACAAACCACTAATGACAACTGTATAAAACTGTATCAACAGTTCATATCTGTGTTATGCAGTGGGTGTGATCACTATCAATTACTATCAGTCAGGAAAAGTTATTTATAAGCCATAACACTAAAAATGTTTAATATTTCAAAACCGTAACATTCTATTTGCTTGGCTTTAGGTTGCAAATTACCCCATCTCTTAACAAGACTGCTGAGACAACTTCCTTACTTTACTCTGCTAGCTTGCTAGTTAGCATGCTAAAGGCTACAACGCTAACAACAACCAAAAAAGACACTCAATGCTGGCTCTACACCAAGGTTATAGTCAAAAAAAAACATACATCCCAGCTGTCATTGGGCGGAAGGCAGGATAAACCCTGGACAGGTCGCCAGTCCATCACAGGGCGTCAAAAAAAACAATTATTCACAAATTTTAAAAACATAAAAAACGGTTATGTTCAAACTTTTCAAATGAACATTTTGCTGTGCAAAGTTTGCCTGGCTCACTGAGGTTAACCTGCTGAGGGTGAACGCATTTCATCACCACCTTCCCTTCTGCCTCGAGCTGGGAAACTAACCCATAGTGTCATTGATTTGAAGCACTGCTGTTATAAAGTACCAAAAGCAATTTGGCTGCTAATTGAGCTTCCTTGTGGAGGTTTTAAGCCTCCTAAAATCCGAAAGTATGAAAATCCTGTCAGGAACAATCAGTTGAATGATGGCCTAAGTTCCCCTGACCCAGATTAAGCCTAAATCTGGACTAAAATGAATTTGGTATAAGACTAGGCTTAATCCTTGTCTGGAAAACTGGCCTATAATGCGGCAATATGACAAATAACAGAAGAAGGCGAGGAAATTAAATGCAGATGAAAGGTGAAATACAGTTTCCTTGTGGAGGTTTTAAGCCTCCTAAATGTGAGTGAGTGAGTTAGTTACAAACCCAGTTCCATGAGGTAATTTGCATATGAAAACACTCTATAGAGTAACCATCTACAATCCGAAAGTATGAAAATCCTGTCAGGAACAATCAGTTGAATGATGGCCTAAATTCCCCTGACCCAGATTAAGCCTAAATCTGGACTAAAATGAATTTGGTATAAGACTAGGCTTAATCCTTGTCTGGAAAACTGGCCTATAATGCGGCAATATGACAAATAACAGAAGAAGGCGAGGAAATTAAATGCAGATGAAAGGTGAAATACAGTGCTATGAAAGTATTTGCCTCTCACACGATTTCTTTTATTTTTTGCTAATTTTTCACATTTAAATATTTCAGATCATCCAACTAATTTCAATATAAGATAAAAACAACATGAGTAAAGACAAATTGCAGCTTTTAAATGATCATTCCATTTAGTGAAGGTAAAGATTTTTTTAAATCTACATCACCCATGTGAAAAAGTAATTGCCTCCCCTAACTAATAACTGGTTGTGCCACCCTTGACAATAACAACTGCAATCAAACCTTTGTGATAACTAGCGATAAGTCCTTTACATCACTGTGGAGGAATTTTGGGCCATTCTTCTTTGCAGAATTGTTTTAATTTGGCTACATGGAAGGATTTTAGCCCGTTTAATGTCTTGCCACAGCATCTCAATGGGATTCAAGTCAGGACTTTGACTCGGCCACTCCAAAACCTTAATTTTGTTTCTTTTGAGACTTTCAGAGGTAGACCTGCTTGTGTGCTTCGGATCATTGTCCTGCTGCACAACCCAGCTGCACACAAGCTTTAGGTAGTAAATGTTCTCCCTCAGGATTTTCTTCAGGTGGTCATCTAGACGAAGTCTTTGTGTTCTTTTTGGTCAGCAGTGGCTTACACCTTGCAACTCTCCCATGGATGCCATTTTTGCCCAGGGTCTTTCTTA